TCCATATTTTGGATATACCCTGAAATGGGATTGCCAGACCATATGGTAATTCTGTGAGGGACCACTGTGCACTCAGTTGGTGCCTGCTCAGTGGCCTCCTCTCCTATCCCCGGGGCATCTGCCCCTCAGCCCTCCCGCCCCATCCCCCAGGGGCAACCACAGCTGAGACTGTTTGCCTGCCACCCCTCAACCTGCCCTGTGGCCCTGCAAGCCGCTCAGCAGCCCTGGCCAGTCTCTCCTGCTTCCTGTTCGGTCACACATCGCTCCCCACACACACCACCAAGCACTCCAGGCAGCCCTGGACAGCGCCCCTCCCCCGCCCCTCACACCCCAGACCTCCCCCTCCCCACTTCCTGGGGGCTCCCTTGCTAGGAAAGCCCAGACTTTCCTGTGGGGACAAGCGCCAAGAGCCCCACCTTTCCCACCTGACAGTCCCAGCCTGGGACCCAACCTCACCTGAGCCCCACGCCAGAGCCCCCAGGGGTGCCAGGGCATGCCTGGGCTTGCAGGAACTCACTGTGGAGGAGCACAGGCTAGCAAGGCCCCAGGTATGTGTCAGGCCCCAGATGGGCCTCCCGAGCACATCAGCACTTAAGGAGGGGCAAGAGGACCGCCCAGCGCAGGGCTGGTGCACTCAATGCAGGAAGGACTCTGGTGTGAGCAAGGGCCAGATGTGCCCCGTCACCCAGAGGGCACAATCTGTGACCTCCACTTGAGGCCGGAAGCAACCAGCCTGGGAGCAGATCATGGTCGTGGGCTCGATGGGCCACTCCACGTCTGTGGGAAGCGGATTCCAGGCCTAGCCGGCCAGCAGCCTCCTCAGGGCACCCACACCCTCAGCCCGTGCTGAGCGGGTCTCCATGGAGCCTGCCCGTTTCCATACGCTGTGGCCTGGGCCGTGGTTACCTGTGGGCTCCTGCTGGTAGATGATGGCAAGGCTGTGCCTGCCCCAGCGGCTGGGCAGAGGGGCAGGAAGAGGCTCGGCCCTGCCCCACTTGGGCTGGAAGCCAGGTGCTGGGACACGGCCCTGGCCAAGCCCACCAGGAAGGTGCCCAGTGCCAAGTCAGCCCCCACGCAGCCCTGTAACTGGCCAACTGTGCAGGGCAGGCCCGGCTGGGAGGCCGAGGACCCAAGGGGCTCAGTCGCCAGGGGTTCCCCCTCCCTCAGAGGAGCAGCAGAACCAGGTGCGCATGCAAGCTCAGCTCAGAAGGCAGGTTCCAGGTGTCACAGAAATACTGCCGGAGTCCCCCAGCCCTCCCAAGCCCACCCCGCCGGAAGCTTTCTCTCCTGGGGGCCCCTCACTGAAGGCCCAAAGTCCCGAGACACGAAGCAGGCCTCAGGGCGACCCCACAGCCTACGTGGGGAATTGGACGGAAAGGCTACCCTGCCAGACGGTGCCAGGTGCCCTTTAATGACAGTTTGGGGGTCGGGGGGTTAAATAGAAAACAGTTTCGGCAAGGACCCAGAGTACGGGGTGGGCACATGCCCTGTGCCAGCCTGGCTGCGGCACAGCACCTTCCTCCTGTGGTTCCTGCAATGGGCGACCACTTTTGGCCCGGGCCTGGGTCCCCAGAAGGCAAGAGTCCTCTGCTGGGTACACAGCTGCCCTGCAGGCTCCACAGTGTCCACGGGCCCAGCTCGGGCCTGGCTCTAGAAGAAGTCCGAGGCTTTGCGCCGGGTGGGGAGCTGCAGCAGGTTGTCTGTGATGGAGGCCGGGTCCAGCGTGAGGGGTGTGCGCGCAGCAGAGGCCGGGACGGGTGTGTTCGTGGGGGTCTGCAGCCCACTGGCCGGGGTCTTGAGGTAGGTCGATCGTGCTGTGGATGGCATGTAGCTGGCCCTCAGGGCCTGGCCTGTGTACTTGCTGGCCGTCCTGCTCACAAGGCGCTGCAGGGCTGGAGACATGGCCGGGCTGAGGCCTTTGGGGGTAAGACTGGGATGGAGGGACGGGCAAGAGGCAGAGTTAGGTGGCCGGGTGCTGCGGGCAGCAGGCCCTCCCTAGCCCTGGGAAGAGCCTGGGCAGACATGTGTCACTCTGAGCTGAGGAGGACAGCACTGGATGGCAGTGACGCCAACCTCGAGGTGCCGCCCTTGGCTGTGGACGCTGGGGTGGACCCCAGAGCTCTGAGAGTTAGAGTCCTCACTCCTCTCCAAGGGGAATAATGACACTCTCTCCACAGGGCCGACAGGAGCTCACAGTGGGACCACAGACCTAAGCAGGCCTAAGGGTGCCTCTTAGAGATGGGCCCAGGAGGAGGGAGAGGAAAGAGAAGCTGGAGGGGGACCCAGTGTCCCTGGTTCATGTCAGGCCACGCTATGGATCAGAGAAGTGGCAGACCTGCCCTGGACGCTACCCTGCAGGCCACATGTCTGCAATGCCAGGGACGGTGCCAAGCCGGAGTAGGGCAGAGACACTCTCCCCTCAGCCCAGGGCCAGCCCACCCCTCACTTGGCCAGGTTCTCCGTCACTCTCCGCAAGGCCTCCTGCTTCTTGGCCCGGTTCTTTGCAGCAGCCTCATTGGCCATCTTTAGCCCCAGCCGCTCCCTGCGGCCCGGCTCCAAGATCTACAAGGCAGCAGGTGTGTGGGTGGCCTGCGGCAGCCCTGCCACAAGCCAGGCAGTCCTTTACACAGAGGGCCACTGCTGTGGGCACCAGCCTCTCCTCGTGGCCTCCACAATCCCCACGATCCACTGTCACCTCCTCCTGAGCCCTGGAAAGCCCCCACCTCGCCAGCCCGCCCGCCTACCCAGGCCTGGCACTCCCTGCCTGTCCTCGAGCTCCTCCCAAAGGCAGGCCTGCCAAGACTGGAGCCTCTGGTATCTTTCAGGAAAAGAGAGCATCTTGTCGTTTCCCCGACTGCTAGAGTGGACACCTTTTTTCATCTTCTGTATTTCTTTCAAGAACTTCCCACGCGTATCCGTGGCCTATTTTTCTCTCAATGAGCTCATCAGGGCTTTTTGTTGTTGTTACTCACAGCAGCTTCACCTGTGTCGAGGACATTAAGCTATGCCTTGCAAATATCTTTTCAGTTATTTGCTTTACTTTTTCTTTAAACTTCCTGCCAAACTAGAAGCTATTTTTCTTAACCTCAAGCGATCCTCCCACCTCGGCCTCCCAGAGTGCTAGGATTACAGGCGAGAGCCACCGCGCCCAGCCTGCTTTACTTTTATGACATTTTCTGCTGTATTTAAGTTTGTCATTTTTGTGTAGCTATAACTTTGTGATTTCTTCCTTACTTAAAATCAGACTAGGCTGGGGCACAGTGGCTCATGTCTACAATCCCAGCACTCTTGGAGGGTAAGGTGGGAGGATCGCTTGAGTCCAGGAGTTCGAGACCAGCTTGAGCAAGAGTGAGACACAGTCTCTATGAAAAACACAAAAATTAGCCTGGTATGGTGGTGGCGCCTGTAGTCCCAGCTACTTGGGAGGCTGAGGCAGGAGGATCATTTGAGCCCAGGAGTTCGACGCTGCAGTAAGCTACGATGATACGCTGATGCCACTGCACTCTAGCCTGGGTAACAGAGTGAGACTGTCTCAAAAAAAAGAAAGAAAGAAAAAAAAAGAGACTATTTGCCACTATTTTCTTCTAGTTGTTTTATGGTTATTCTTTTTACCTTTAGTCTTCCACCTTTCTGGAATGTACTCTGCTATACTTATGTCAAGCTACTTTATTTCCAAATACTCTGCTTCTCAGCACAATATGAGTCACCATCTTTCTCAGACCCTAAATTCTTTTATTTCTAAAGGCCTCCCAGTATGGCACTGTTGGTCCTTCCCTAGGGTGGTCTGTAGAGGTAAGGCACGTCTAGACAGAACGTGGGCAGAAGTATTGGGCACCTTGGTTCTGAAACCTGTCCGGGACGTGAGGACAACCAAGACAAACCTGGGAGAGAGAACAAAGAGGCGGCTGTGCGGCCAAAGGTGAGCGTAGCACAAGGCCCTGACGCTTTGGCTATGCCCGGGTCCTGGAACCCAGGCCAACAGAAAAGGGGAAAAGTCCTGAAATAAACCGTAGGCCAGGTCAGAATTTAGGGTCCAGAGATGGGACAGGAAGACAGGACAGTGCCCTCCTCAGGTATGTGATAAAGTCTGTGGTTTTCTCTACGAAAGCTAAGTTATTTCTAGTTGTTCTAAATTTCTATTGCTCCACGAGTGAACTCTCTCTTTTCCACTTCAATTCAAACACTGATCACTGCCAGTGTTTAAAGGAACTGGCTGGACATGAGCTCCTGTCCGGTCACCTCCCTGGCCTCCTGGTCATGCCACACACGCTACCTCTCCTGGCGTTCTTTCTCAAAGCAGATGATGCGACCCCACACCCTTGGTCTCTGCAAACACAAACCTCTGCCTTTTGGACCTCTCGGCATTCCAGAGTCAGCACAGGCAGGGGCCCAGCTTCCCGACAGCGGGACATGCGTGCTCCCAAGTTCTGGGGACCTCTCCTCCTTTCCAAACCACACCAGTCACTCAGTTTCCCCAAAAAACTCCCTGCAGACAGAGCGCCTCGTCATCTCAACACCTCTCCAGGGCCACACCACCCTGGGCCACCCAATTTCTTTATGCCATCTGCCACCCAGCTTCCCTTCACTGCCTGGCACTTAGGGGCCACCACGACACACCCCTGCCTGGTCACACCTGATCTGGCCCGTGAAGAGTACCCCTTGCCTGCTCCAGGCCTCGACCACTCCTACAACACTGGGCTTAAGCCACACACTCTGGTGTGTCCCTAATCGTGTTCTGTAACCAGAGGCCTTTCTCTGCAAGCACACAGCCCCACCCCAGTCAGGGCTCCTGGCCTCTCTGTGACATCTTGCCCCATCTATGAACAGCCCCCGGCCTTCAGGCTCTAGCAGGGCCCAGGCCACTGCCTGCCTTGGTGCCTCAGCCCCTGCCCCGCCAAATCCGTCCATGGCACCCCCAACCAGCCACGCCTGTCTTCAGCACCCCAGCATTCAGAAGTGCCAGCGCTCTGCCCCGTCAGCAGGGGTCCCATCCATGGCACTCAGTCCCGAGCCACAGGCACTCAGGGTCCAGTGGGCATCCACAGAGTTCCACCCTGCCCCTCCTCACCACAACTGACCTTGAAGGCTGGGCCTGGTGTCCTGTCCACGTAGGGGGTTTCTGATCCTTCCACTCACAAGGGTGTGTTCTCAACCTCCCCTCAGGTCATCAGCAGGGACTCGTTCACACCTGCAGACGGAGAGCCCACAGCCACCTCAGGCCAGAGCACCAGGGCCCTGCCAGGCCCTCCCCCCAGCCGCAGCCAGTTCATCCCATGTGCGTCCCAGCTAACATCAAGGCCAGCAGCTGGCCCTCTCTCCTTCCCCGGGATGCTGGAACCCTGGCACCTCCTTCCTCTGAGAGGGAAATGCCAAGGTCACAGTGGGCCTGAGGCAGGTCCAGGCCCCCGCAGCCATGTATTCAGCCTGAGTAGCCTCCTGGAGGCTCCAAACCTTGTAGAACTCCAGGCAAACATGGCACCTCCACATACCCTGGCCTATGTCACAGCAACGAGTACCCAAGAGCACAGAGACCAGTGTTAAGGGGGACAGAGGATGCCCACACACACCACGGGACCATCCACGTCTCGCTAGCCTGTTGGAGGAGACTCAGGCCCAGAGCCTCCCCACCCCACAGAGCTCTCTGGACTTAGGTCTGTAAGCACTGTGCACACAGCACCCCACCTGCTGACACAGCGGTGAGCACCAGAAGAGAACACGTGAGTCAGGACGTCTCAGGTTGGGTCTGCCTGAGAGAGTCCAGCCTGGGCATCTGCCTCTCAGGGCCCCAGAGTCCAGCTCTGTCCTTGGAGAGAAGGACACTAGGTCCCTGAGTCACATAAGGCACAGGAAAGACCAGGTCGACAGCGAGGAGTGACTGGCTGATAGCCTACCTCCCCCCAGGCAGTCCCAGCAGTGGCCCGCTTGCCAGGAGCACGTTTCTCACCAAGGGCAGCAGAAGGGGTGGAAACAAATCCAAATCCGCCCACTCGGGGGGACTCCTGAGGGATGAGCTCCTTCCCGTAGGGGCCCACCTTGCCCTGTTTGTGCCGGAACAAGCAGAGAGACAAGCATCAGGGGGCTGGAGTGCTCTCTCCCCAGCTGGCTGATGGACAGATGCACAGGAACATGCTGGAAACACTTCCCCTTCTTAGGGCAAAGCCGGGGCTCTGGGGCTGGCAGCCGTCTTGGGGAAAGAGGGAGGACCCCCTCGCCTCTACCCCACAAAAGACCTTGAGGCTGTCAGAATGGGCACCAAGCAAGAGATGCCCCCCTCCTCCCATCCAGGGCAGTGCTGGGCCCTCAGCTCAGCACCCCACCCTGGCTACTTCCAGAGGGCACCGACTTCAGGCCTCTGCGGGGGCAACACTGACGAAAGGACCTGTGCTCTAGTCTCTAGTCTGCCTCCCATCCTTCAGTCGCACAACCACACAGTCCCCATCAGAGAACACCCATCCGTCTTGCTTCCAGGCTCGGAAAACCTCTGCCTTCTGCCATCACGAACACTCTCTCACCCCAGCTCACCCTCAGGGGCTCGCTGGCTTCCCTGCCTGCCCACCCACTGTCTAGCCCACAGCCCTGCCTGGTGTGTGGGCATGCGCATGGCTGGCCTGGGTCGGCCTCCGCCATCAAGGGAGCTGGCACAGATCTGGACCCACAGACCGTGTCTGGCCAAGACAGTGTCCAGTGGAAGCCCACATGGGCCAAGAAAAGACCCCGCCACATGGGGCCCCAGATACTTCTACCCACTGAGCTCCACCAAGCCCAAGGAAATCAAAGAGGCTGTGCCTGCCCCAGCCAGCACTGCCACACCTAGCCCCATGTGGCCCTGCCAGCCCGCTGCTCACTTGGGCATTGAGGGCAGCCGCCTGCTGGAGCTGGCACCTGCTCAGAGCCTGGCTGAAGGGGTCCCGAAGGAAGCGTGTGTTCTTGTGCACCACCTGCCGGGGCTTCTTAAACAGCTGCTCTTCCTCAGGGACACCTGGCAGACAAAGCAGAGACGTAGCAGGTGTCAGGGGGGTGGGCAAGCCCCACATCAGCCCAGCAGCCCAGGGGCCTGAGGGGCAGGAGCAGGCTCACTCTCCCAGCCAAGTCACTCCTGCCGAACAGAAGCGTCGAGCTCAGCTCAGACCCCGACTGCAGCTGGAGACAGCCTCACTCCCCCATCGACCTTGAACAGACTATGACCTCTCCGAGGACCAGAATGCAAGCGGCACGTACGTGTGCCCTGAAGGCTGACCGAACCCAGAGCCAGACGTACATGGCTCCATCCTGCGCCTCCCCACCGAGCTGCCAGGCCCTGCCCGCTCACCCTCGGGGTAGTACATGAGGGAGTTCTTGGCCTTGTACTTCCACGTCTCCACGCCTGCCTGGCTGCTCTCGACAGCTTGATGCTCTGCCGATGGGAGCTCGAGGTTATCTTTCTCCCTCTGCAACTGAGTGGGGAAAACTGATGGTCAGAGATGCCCCCAGGCACTGTGCCTGCAGCTGCTCCAACCCCAACTGAGAGTGTCTACGCCCCGGTGCCCCAGGGATACCTTCTCAGACTCCTCCTCAGCCTGGTAGAGCCAGGCGTGGCATGCCGGCTCTTCTCCTTGGCCACCTCCATGATCTCCTGGAAGGAGGCATTGTCCTCGCTTGTGCAGCGGCTCAGGAAAACGTCCAGGCTCGGCAGCAGCTCCTTCTCCTCCTCCTCGCCAGCCTCTCCTGCTCAGGGGTTTGCAGGTGGGAGAAACACAGACCACAAAGGGCATAAACACCACTTTGCAGTCAGGGGAGACCAGCAAGCCCAGCCCCAGGAATCACACCACCCTCCAAGCATGACTGGAATCCCGACCCCCGGGCCTGGCTCTCTTTGAGAGCCCACACTCCCAAAGGACTCCTCGTAGGGGTGGGATCGGCCCACCCTGACTGCCCAGGGAGCCCTCAGCTCACACCCTGCAGTCGCCTGGCCAGCTCTGCTCGCCTGCTGGACACCGAGGGAAATGTGTCATCTGATTCAGACGTGGGGGTGGGGAGCAATCCAGGCATTAGAGCAAGAGCTCGTGACCATAAGTAGGCTCCTCCCTAACCAAAACTATGCCTAGCCTGTAGGATCTACCTCCAAAGCCCCCAGGGCTCTCCCATCCTCTCTGGGATTTCCTTACCCTAACCACGCTTCCCTCACGGTACTTGTACTACAGGTAGGTGGTTGTCACCTAAGTGTCTGGACTTGCCAGCTAGCCCCGATGACAGGGACACCATATGACCCAGTGCTCCTGATGGGGCCCCACAACCCCAGCTACCCCTGCCACCATGGAGAGTGGCACCCTGCTGAGGTGGCATCCTGGTGCTGTGTGTGGTGATGCAAACCCCAGTGAGGACATCCGGAGGATGGCTTTTTCTTCCATTCTAGGGACAGTCTTGACCGACCACCTGCTACATTCCACACTGTGCACAAAGCACAGTGGCTACAAGTTCAAGACCTGGGGTCAGAAAAAGGATTCAAACCCCATTCCACCACTGACCATCTAGGACACCTACAGAAGTTACTGCCTTCCTGAGTCTCAGGTTCCCGGGCTGTAAACACGAGTGACAGTGGCACCCACCACTTGGATTATGGAAATGATTCCTGTGTTTACCGACGTGTAAGGTGTGAAGGTATAAAAAGAACCTGCAAATCACCCTGTGACTCACAAGCCGCATTTCAATAAAGAATCAAGGCCCAAGGACAACAAGGACTGTGTTAATGGTAGAAAGAAATAGATTGTAAAGCAGGTACATCTGTGTCTGTAAAGCAGATCTGTGCTGGTATATCCTACTGTAGACTAAAATCCAGTAAAAAATAGCAGCTTGTCCATCTCATCCGCCGAGAAATCGATTGACCGCAGCGCGCAACACACTTATATTCAACAGGCTCAGACCCCCTTTCCTAAAAAGGCCCCTCATAAAGTCGGGTGTTAGCACGTACACCTGTGTGTCATACACCCCAGTAAACATATTGAAAAAGACAACAAGTTCATCTGTTCTACGGATATTTGTCAAAGGCCCACAACACCCATGCGCTGTTCCAGGTGCGGAGCACATAGACGGAGGCAAGACAAAGTCTCTGCTCTTGTGGAACGGATGCTAATTAGGGAGAGAGATGATACACAAGTAGAAATGCTTTTTATGAAATGTCACGTCCTGCAGTAAAAAAAACAGCCAGGTTGGAAGCCAGAGGGCACAGGGGTGCTGTGACTTTGCACTGGGAGATCAGGGAAGATTTCCCTGAACAAGCAACATCGGAGCAGAGACCTGAAGGAAGAGAAGTGACTAGCCGTGCCATTATGTGGGGAAAGTGACCAACATGGAAGAAACAAAGGTAGAGGCCCTGAGGCATCTTCAGGAGACAGTGAGGAAAGGAGCCTCCCAACGCCCATGAAGGCCACAGGGCAGCGGCTGGCGCACAGCGAACAGGCCAGCGAGAGAGGTGGTGAGGTTCCCAGTCCACAGAGGCCAACCACATTTGGGCGCTGGACTCCGATCTTCTGCCTCCTAGATCAGTGCTCTTTGACTTCACGGGTTGCTGTTCAGGCGAGGAGACCCCTCGGGGACAAGATGCGACCTGCAGCCCTCCAGACCACCCTCTCAGGGTCTCATGGGATAAGATTCCCAGGCAATCCCGACCATGCGACCAAGAGGGAGCTCTCACTCACCATCCTCCAAGCCTCGGCCTCGGGGCCTGGGCTTGCTGCCCACCACTCCAGTGCCTGTGTGCACCTCAGGGGTTTCAAATGTGGCTGGAGTCACATCTGGGGGATAAAAAGGGGGTACATTTTAGAGAGAGCCTGAGGCAACACTTCACCAGGCTTTCCCCTCTCTGCCACGCACAGGGTCCTCTTACAGGGTGGCGGGGGCTCTCGGGACATCTTGCCCAGGGCAGAACCAAACTTGATGGCAATCTGGCGCATCCGTTCCAAGTCTCCATTCTCCTCGGCCTCCAGGTACTCCTTCTGGGCCTGCAGCTTCTCCACATCAGGAAAGAAATGCCTCTGGATGACTGTCTGGAGGCCCTGCTGGGAGATCAGAACAATAATCAGAGCTGCCATCTGGGCACCCCTGCCTCACAGTCTGCCGCTGTATATACTATGGCCCTTGCTGAACCTCCTTCAACTTCTGCCTTCCACAGTAATTGCAGCTTGCTTGAGACAACTTCGGGGCACTTTCTAGTGAGGTTCAACACTCCATGTGGTGGCCGCGCTGCAACCTCTAACATTACTAAATCCCCCTATCGTGTCCACAAAACCCTTCTCTTTCCTCTCACTAACTGGTCTTTCTGACTCTCCTTTACTGGCTCCACTTTCACACCAGCCAAACCAATATGAGTGTTACCACCTTCCTTCCACCTGTGACCTTCTACTTCCAATCGAAACCCATTTCCTGAGTGACTTCAGCCAGTCGCCACCACCACCACCAGTTGAGATTCCCCAGTGTGAACCTCCATCCAGACCTTGCTCCTGAGCTGCAAATCTGTGCACCCAGCTGTCCACTAAACCCACCGTTCGTCTATCCCAAAGGCGTGCCAAATTTAACTAGTGGAAAACCAAACTGACTTCCTCCAACCCTCGTGCCAGCTCCCGCGTCCTTGCGGTAGGACGAACAGCTACTTCCAGGGGCGATAGAGAGCCACTCACTCAAGATGCCGCCACAACCGCCCTCTTTCCAGGACCCTTGTTACCGCTCTCTAGAAAGCCCTCTTTGCCGCCATCCTTCCAGTCTGTCAAACTCCTACTCGCACTTTAATAGAAACCCTTATTTCCCTAACCCCATCACATACAAACTGAGCCGCTCCCCATCCCCCTACCACACTGCTAGAACCTCCCCCATGCAGGACACCTCCCTCGCACTGTTAACTTGGCTCCTGGGACCGTCCATACCCCAAGGGCAGGGACTCGGGCTGTTCCACTTCCACGACGAGAAGGCAGTGCCAAGACTCGAAAGAAGGGACCCGAGAAGGAGCGCAAGGCGGGGGAGGGACCAGAACATCGCCTGCGTCCACACCAAGGTCGTACCTCGATATACTCTTCCTCATCTAGGACCCGTTGCTTGCTCGTTGTAGCCCCAGCCCCCCCAGTCGCGCGCTTCCTACGGGGCCCAGACCCGGCAGGGAGCAACCGGGCCGGGGCGGATGCGCCCGGAGTCTCCATCGCTATCCCAGGACCGCTCGGGCAGCGCAGGCGCATCACAGGGTCGGGCGGGCGGGACTGCACCATTTGCGCAGGCGCCTCCAACAATTGGCCAATAAGAAAACTGCATATTTACAACGCAAACTCGCGCTCCGTACTGTCGTCACTAACAGCGCTCGTCCTTGTGGGAGTTGTAGTCCTCTTCCCGCCCGCGCTATTTATGCTTGTCTGGGTTGTGGACACGAGGGGGCGCTTTGGTGGAGCGTGTGGATCGCGCTAATAGTGAGAAATGCCAGCACTATGGAATCCAAAAGCCTTAGAATTCCAATTTCTCTCAAATAAATAATCACTGTGTATGCGTCGATATTATAATATTTCTTAAAAACTCCCGAAAATTTGATTATATGTGCGTTTCTAACTTTGTGGAAGAAAAGAACCCTAAGACAATTCTTTCTTGGCAGTTATCTAACAAAAGATTTAAAAAAA